AATGTAAAACCCACATTTTAAGCATGATTTGGGAACATGAAATCAAATGATTGATCTTATTATACAGATCAAGAAAATCAATTGATTTTTATTCAGAGTCAAATCAAATCGTAGAAAAGGGGAAGCTGGAAGATCTGCTGTCTACTCAGGCTACCTTGGCCAGATAACTAAGAATGTCATTACAACAAAGCGCAGTGAATTCAGGAGCTATGAGGTAAGTGAAGATTGCCATTCTAACAGTCATATAAATAAACCTTGGAATTTATCAGATTTTTAGTTAGGATCCCACTAATGGGATCTAGTTCAGGGCTAGCTGATTTATATGCAAAATTTTGCACATGCAAATAATTTGTATTGATTTCCTTAGGGAGTTAGAGCATAGACCAAATTGAGAGTGTACTAGCAGAATGCACAAGGTCAGATTCACCTCTATGTGGCAATCAAGTGCTAGTCCTTGAATGTCTCTCAAACCTTGCTTGATGGAGGTGCTTTGCCCACGATGAAAAAAACAGACCTTTCCTTCAGTTGTTGCTAACAAGTAAAAAGAAGTAATAAACAGTCTTATTACTTGTAGTTAAATGAAAGAGAAGGCTAATGTTGTGCAGAACCAGGGCAGCGTACACAGAGCCAGCAAGAAGATACGGCTGGAGCTCTTGATTACAAAATTAGGAATAAGAAACTAGGTCTTCATTTTTAGCATGAATCAAAAAAATGCTAAGAGAACAGCTTCATCCTTCGTTTCAGTGATGGGTGCTTTCTGGAGAGCAAACCCAAAACAAATGAAATTTATGATGTAATCAAGAACAAATGAATTGATTCACCTAGAAACTTGTGTAAATGTAACGACCATATACAGAGCATCACAGTTGCTAATGCTTTTAGCCCTGAATTCTGTTTTCTTTAAAGAAATGCATATGGGGCAAGCTGGTTCTAGGAGTTAGACTAAAGGCAGAAGACACTATGTCCAAATGCTAACAGCTTTTGTATATAACAACTGAGGTGGAATATAAATGTTAGTTTAAATAATAGTGATGCAGTGCATTAATCTACCTCAACATCATTTATTTCCACAACAACGACAAAATATTCTTACTATTTTTAAATGTAGGCTAAATTGGAAGAATATTATCCCATAAATTAGTAGAATAAGAGAATACTCTGAATATCCTTGACATTGAATTTCACTTTCTATTTCATTTCCAGTTTACAAATAGTTGACTTAGAGAGTTTTAACTTTAACCAGAATTGTCATATATTTATTCTCTGAGAGTAAACACCTATAGATGGCTCAGATAACATAAATCCATCTTTTAAGATAATTTTAGCAATGTGATGGGGTCTAATTTAAAAATTCCAGCCAGCTTCTTTAATTTCTCTTGGATGACCTTGGAAAAATACTTGTGACTACTGCCTAGTTACTTACTCATCATTGAGATAAATTGATAATTACATTTTAATGGTGTCTAAGTAGTCAATTCAAATTGAAAGAAATCTAAGTAGCACCATCTGAGCAAGAGACAGGAAAACTCTGAAATGTAATCATTGGTTAATGACACCATAGTCACTTGGAAGGGATTTAGCTCCAGAAACATCATATTCTCTCAGGAAACATTTCATGGTGAAATGTATTATTCAGTAATCTATTATATGCATAGAAACTACAATAAAATATTATAATATACTACAATGTGTTTACCACTCCACAAGCCAAGAACAGGGCTATGGCAAATGCTTGCAGTTTAGGAGCAGGTGGCAAGGACATCTGTGGCACTACTTATACCTCCTGGCTGCAGCAACTGACAACTGGATGCATCCTGGATCTTCATCTCTAGGGCAGGGGCATCCTTGTAGTGAGGTCCAAAACACCAAAAATGTCAAATAAGAAATTCGGAATTTCAGCATTAAATCATCTTCTTCTTTTTTTTTTTTTCTATTAATTTAATCCAACAGAAAGAAATACCATGGATAAAATGTTAAGATGAATTTGTCCTATGCTAACTTTATCCAATTTTTAATTTGTTAATTCAAAGTTAATTGCAAATACTGGTGAATTTAGCCTCTTATGACCTCCACAATGCTAAAGAGTACTCTGAAAATGCTGTTATCACCATGATGAATCACACCTTTATTCTCATGCCAAGCGGAGAATCCTTGCTTTCCTGCACTAAAACCATGATTTCCTATCACTGAGCCGAAAGAGAAGTTCACTGAGCTGTTAACAGGATTGAAAGCCAATTGATTTGACTTATCTAAGAGCAGACAGTGGAGAAATACCAGTTTGGTATGTGGTATTATTCCTCACTTTTAGAAGTGGAAATGTCTTTTAACTATCCTTCTCATGGGCCTTGTTCTCTTGGGAATTTATGTCCTGATTTAACTTAGCCAAAGTGAGGTGAGGTGCTCTGCTCTCTCACGTCCAGGGATCACCCCTGCTGTCTCTGCTGGGTTTGTAGGATCTGTTATGGAATCAAATGCTTAAACCCAAATGTCACTGATTTGCCATGAGAGAGAAGGCTCTTCTTATTAGCTTTTGTAAAGAGTCACTTCTGCCATCCCTCATGTTACACACTGTAGCACTGTCATATTGTCTCATTGGAATTAAATCAGCAATTTTACAGGTATTTGAAATATTGACATCTAGAGGGAGCTATGAATCATGAAGTGACAAAAATGAATCTGACTTTCTGAGGAGACAAACTTTTCATTTAAATGACATTCTGGACACTCCAGGGCATTGCATGCAAATTCCAGGGCATTATATGCAAATGCATAACTATATTTTTCAGAGGGAAATGTCAATTCTGCCCTATTGACAGCTTGGCGCCCTAATGATTGCCATAATTTGTCAGAACCCCCATATATGTCTCTAACCCTAAATACTTTATTTTTCTGATATTTTCTGCTACAACTATATGTGTTTTGAGCTCCTTTGCTGTTCTCTGAAGGGAACTACCAATGTATGTTATTACTTCTCCGAAGGGAAATACCAATATCACAGACACACTCCATGGGAACCCAAACCAACCTCCTGTGGGTTGGTGTTTAATATCACAGAATGCTTAAGATTGGAAGGGACCTCTAGAGATCATCTAGTCAATGTATGTTATTACTTCCATGCTAGCAAATTAAAAGGAATATTGAAAGCCATCATAAGGATTCCAAAGTAAGAGCTATAATGACAGAAAAATCCGAAGTAATGGAAGAAAAAACCCCACAAACCTTCATGAGATAGGTAAATAACATACAGTCAGGATAAATACTGTACAGTTCTAGGTAGCTGAATGGTCTTGCCCACAAGGGATAGATTCCTTGGTGTACACAGTATAAAAAAGAATGATTTGATTATTTCGTAAGGAACCAAGGAGACAACACAGGAGTAAAGAATAAAGACTTGGAAAGAAGACAGTGTGGAAAAGGCTCACTGAGTGAGATTAGACAAAGCTCTAGTAGCAGACTACCTGAACACCAACTATTTCTAGACAAAAAGCTTGGTAAGTTCTGTCACGTAGGTAGTATGTACTGTGCACAGTCTAGTTTTATCTTACCCAGTGCTACCATAAGAGATGCAATGTTGCATAAAGTGAAAAATATGTCCCTTCATAATGGTTTCGGTTGTGGTGCCTTTGGCCCTCAGAACTGGAAGATAAAATAGGGACTGCAAAAAAAAATTACTGAAAATTCAGTGTGTCTTTATGAATTATTGTGGCAGTGACAGTGCTGTGATAGCACCAGCTTTCCAGATTTTAGTAAAAAAGTGTAGTAATATACTTCATCCATTTTCTTCATCTTTAAATGAATAATGACATATTTAGAGATAAAAAATGCAGACAAAAGTCATCAATTAGATTACCCTATCTGAGTTTCTTAATTGAATTTAAAGTGTTTCTCCCTTCCAAGTTAGCACAACCACTGCTTTTCTATCTTTAATTACTAAATTATGGATGATTTAAACTGGACCTGTATTTGTACATTAACTAGACGTGCATGCTTAAAGATATATATCGTTTGGAGCTTGAAAAGTAATGGTTAACAATATCCTACATATAAATCTACTTAGAAGCTGAATCATATTCCTGGGTTCTTCTGATTAGAATTGCAGATTCTCTTGAAACCTTGCAAAAGAACATTAAAAGACTGAAAGAGACCTGAAAACACTGCAAATTTTAAAAATGAGGCTTTCAGAATCCAAATGGTAGTGCTAAAGTTAGTGATTATGGATGAAAAACAAACCTGTTTGTTTACAGAACGAATTTTCAAAGTCATTTTTAAATACCATCGTTTTTTCTCTAACAGCCTCTTATTACATTGGAACTGTGATACTGCCAAGAAGATTCTTTTGTGCTTCTAGCTTTTTATTATTATTACTTTTATTTTTTAAATAGTTTGCCTTAGGTCCTGGCAGCTGCTATGACTCAGTGCAATGGTTTTACAAGTTGTTGCACCAGAGCCAGCATTAAATGATTATATAATTTATCTGAACACAAAGCTGGGTTGTCATTTACAGACAGGCAAAAGAGAAAGTAAAGCTGCTAGGGCTTATGTTGCCTTTGACTTCTATAGACATAAATAATCATGTATTCAATGGAGAATGAAAACAATCTTGCCTTTTTTAAAATTTCTGAATAATCCATGCAGTGAGTCACTAAGATACCTTTTTTCTCTGCCTACTTAGTTTTTAAAAACTGCAGTTACCACAGAATTAATTACTGTGTGAAACAGAAAATGTCTCTTTCTCTTAAACTTATGTTCTTTTGCAAATGAAACAAATTTGTACCATTGACAAATAAAAAATTAAATATTCCTCCTATATTTAGGAATATCCATTTTCATATATGCAACTTTAAAAACACTTAAATGTTTATTCTAAAAAAACCCCACACAATAAATGACAAACTGTCATACTAAATGGCCATGCTCCTCGTTACAAGCCTGCATAAACCCAACACAAAAATGAAACATGAATCGAGTGTGAGCCAATGAAAGCCACACGAAGAAGCTACTCACTTTTTCTTCAGCCGTCGGTCCTTTTCTGCTTGCGTTCCAAGCTTGCCTAATCCCAACGATTCTTGTGCTGCTGCCTCTGTTTCCATATAACCTCCTGTGGTGGAGTAAGAATAAGAAAAAAAAATCACCATATTTCCCAATATTTCTTTCCCTGCTGTTCCCCTCCTCAACCCTCTAGTGACCCCCTTTTTTCACTATTGTGTCTGTTTTTTCCGTAAGATGCTAAGGATGATATTGGTGAACAACATCTATTAACCACGGGAGTAAACACGTCTGAATTCTGGCAAGGAAATTCCATTTCTTACATGAAAGGCACTGGTGTAGAGAGGCTAGTGGTTTCCTCCACGTGTTTTGCATGCATGTACGAGGAGAGCACCCCAATTTTCTCCACTGCTTGTTATCCGTGCCCTCCTACGGCAGCTCTGGCAGCCCTAGCAAGCAGTGCTCTATTACAACACTCACATTTTTTAATCTTAGTTGGGAAACACACAGATGAAAGAGCCTTCCAAAGAGCTGTCTGATCGCTACTGATATGATACAGCATCATCTAATGTCTTTAGCCTCAAGTCTCTAGTTTGCTCTCAGAGACAGGCTTTGATGTGGTTATCCCTGCAGACTCAGAGATGACACAACGAATCTCTCAGAGAGAGAGCAAAGAAGAGCATCCCCTGTCCTTAAGTCCCCTAATTCCTGCCAAAGTCATGGGAGCTGGACAGTCAGCGCCAAGCCGTTGGCCTGGAATCCCTAGGCAAGCCTACAACGAGCAAGGATGCCTGCCCCAAAATAAATCCACATTGCAAACTAAGCACAGGACTGGTTTTGATCAAGATTATGTCAGTGATGGTGACTTGCTTGGTGCTGCAGTGGAAGGATATTGCTCTTTGCCATGCAGGAGGTGCCTGGTTTTCTATTTCAATCCATCAACTGTAAGGACAACCCCAAGTGTAAATTTTATCACATACTAAAATACCATCCCAGACTTTTACAAATCACTTTTACATGTACATGGGTCAAGTTACATAAAAACCTGCTGATGCACCATTTTTATGGTATTAAAAAAAACAGACCGTTTTAAAGCTGTCCTTTAAAACTCTCTGTATTTTCCCCTCTACTGTAATCTGGACAGAATTTTTCTCTAATAAAGCAGACATTACATCTCGAAGTATCATGCAAATTTAAAAAAACAGAATGCATAATTTGCTATATTTCATCTACTTTTGAAAGTTTTACAAGATTATCACATCAAATGCTTCTTGCTGACCCTGGAGCAACTTTGTAGCTCAGCAAAGTGCTGTATCAACACCTCACTCAGACCTTCCAAGTGAGCAGCTCCTAGTATTTCAAACCTACTATCTAGTATCAAATCTAGTATGAGTGCAGCCTAATAAGGGATTTTTTGCAGATTGGGAAGTATTTTCATCAAAAGGGACTTCCCCACAAAGCAAACACATCTGGGCCATCTCAATAACCTAGGGTACCTTGTGTTGAATCTATCTCAGACATGCAGACAGGTATGAGAAATGTTTCCCAACCAGCTGACCTTTCCACGCACCATACAGATCAGCTTGTCTGTGCAAGCTAAAACTGCCTGTAGCACATTTATTTTATGGGTTTGAATATTTTAAACATAACATAGAGAGAATACATAAATGTCCGGCGTAATAATCTCAAAATGAGAGGTGACTGTGTAAACTTAAAAATAAAACAAATAATACTTAAAAGAATTTGTGAAGAATCTAGCAATCCTTTATCTTGTGTCTAAAAAGAACCAAATAAAACGTAAACCATGTATTTGATTTTGAATAACACAAATGACTGAGCAGAGGTGATGCAAATAGCAAATTATAAAATAATGAAACTATAGCAAGTTTAGTAGTTGAAAATGAACAATTTCCAAGTTATATAGATAGTGTAGAACAAGAAATTATTTTGTATGATACCCTGGCTCTGAGGAAGCTAGTGATAAAATTTTGGATGTTCCAATATTGCTTCATAAATAAGACTGGGATTGCTGGGATTTTAGAAATATTGCAGTATTAGTTAAAGAAATATTATATGTGCTTACAATGTATGTAATTCGTGTATTGAGACAAATACTCTCTATACTGAGGTGAACTTTTAAAATGTTCCTTTTAACATAACTGTGTGCATGTAAAAATATGGACATAATAGGAAAATAAAATTAATGTTGTTTCTGAGCCTATGAATTATCACTTTGGTGTTTGATATTTTATTGAATTTTGATATTTTATTGAAGAAGATGTATTTTCCATATATGAAAATATAACTGTGAGCAGTTAAGTATGTATGTGTCAGAATAGAATCCATTTAAGCAAGGAATTAAATAAGATTCTTCTAATGATTTTAAATTTATGGAAATACCCTAACTTTGATTTCTAGGACTATGCAGCACAGTGATGATAGAGCTCTGTGATATAGTATCTTACCATAAATAGAAATATTTTTTATATATCCTTTGAAGATTTTTTTGTATGTGTTATCTTTAAAGTACTACCTCTGAATGGAAATTTCTCCTCTCTATATATGCATATATGCTCTCCATATATTAAGAGAAGAAAAAGCTCTATAATTCAGCTCTTCAACAACTTCTCTTAATTTCTCAAAATATTTTGCTTCTACTTTTGGTCAATAGTAATTTTTTGTATGTTTGTAAAACTAACTCATGTAAGCAAAATGTCTATTATTCTGTTATCATTTGCAACTGAGCCAAAGGATGGATGCTACAAGAATTTCATTTAATTGCAAATCTACACTAATATCTGTTTGCAATTTCATGAGCAAGTGCTGGGAATTATAAATGGGCCTTATCCAATTATACATTTGTCTTAGTAATCATATTGGATATTATTACAAAATGAATCTATTGTAAGATTACATTGCTCCTGAGACAATCTTTACAGGTGTTATTTTATTTTTGTTTCATACTGCAAGGAACTGCAGAGAAGACCAAAGCACTTACTACATCTCCATTCTTTATGTGCCTGAATTACTGTGAATTCATAGATTATTATGCATAATCCTTCCATATCAATAAAATTGGTTTTATGAAATGTAAACGTGAATTAATAACCCAGTCTAAAGTTATAAAATTCTCAATCAGCGCAGATGGCAACATGCAAGTTTATTTGAGCGACCCATTTAATAGATTCTGAAATATATTAAACCATGAAGATGATTGAATAAATCAGTTTTATTTTCTCCATAGTGAGAAAGAAAAGGAATTTAAATTAAGATTAGATTTTTTTTTTTTCAAGGACACAAGGTTCTCACAGGCAAAGGGGAGAAAAGCTGGAGAGTGAAAGGAGAATGTTCAGTAACTTGGTATTTATTAAGACCATAATATCATCTTATTTCATGCTGTAGAATTTTAGTTATGGGCTTTTTAGATGCAATAAGGAAAAATTCTAATATTAATTTAGTTATTTTATTTTTTGGTTTACCTACCAGCTTAAATATTTGCAATTATTTTAAGCTTTTAAAAGTCATTCACTGATGTTATGTGGTCATCTTGACTTAGTATGTAACAAATTTGTATAATATGAAATCATTGCGAATAGGAAAGAGCTACTACTCTCATTTTAATGACAGGGAAACAAAGGTGACAAGAGGCCACATTATCAAGTCTTGCACTATTTTTGTTTGGCTCTTCTGGCTATATGCCCATTATTTTTTTATATTATATATTTCTTACAGAATATATATATATATATATACAGAATATAGATAATATATTCTATAAAATATTATTATTTCTATATCCTAGAGGATGCATCTTCTCAATAATGTGTGAAGAGTATTCTGGTCATTTTGTATTCTGATAACTTCAGAGTACACAGTTAGCATTTTTATCCTAATGCAAGATGGTATTGAAGCAGTAGGCTCACTGAAGTGGGTGATTCTAGTAATTTGTGTCAGAAGTCTCTTTTCATTTATGCTCTACTCTCATCATACTTTGACAAACATAATTACCGGTAACAGTGAAATTTAATGGGAAAGTTCTGCCAGTGTAAAGAAAAAATAAGCTATTTGGAAAACCAAAAAGAAGCATAATTAAAAATGAAAAAATGACTATGAAATGGTGACCTTGGCTTGGTACCACTAATTCCTTACTGAGCTGTCCAAGGCGAGCCTTCTCTTTTTTACCGAACAAACGTCCTATTGAAGACTTGATTCCTTTCTTCTTGGGAGCTTTGTGGAGGGAGTCCTGGCTGCTACTGACACTGCCAAGACCAATGCTCTCTGGTTCCAGTGAAGCAGGCAAACTACTACAAAATGATAATAAAAAAGTAGAATATAACACGTTAACATTCACAGATTATTCTTTTTTTTTTTTTTTTTCTGAGTGGCTTTCTCCCTACAACTAGAACAATTAATCACGTTTTCTCCTTCAGTGATTTAACAATATGTAGTCCATCAGGCTGACAGAATCTTGGTAAGAGAGGCTAGAAATAAACATAAATATTTATCAGTTCTTATCAGTAGTTTTGATCACTTCTAGTCGTGATAAAAACCGTACATTTTAATGTACAAAACTATCCAGCATATTTTAGCACCAAGAAATATTCCCAAAGGTAAGACAAATGTAAAGGTTTACCTATGGGAAAAACAACTGTTAATAAAATTGGTAATTGCTAATAAAATTGTTAATAAAAACATGAAGAAACCAGGGTATTTGGGGGTTGTTAAACAACAGCATGATTTGAAATGGATGAAATGTGATAAAACTGAAGAGCTGATTCATGCTATAAACACCTTACCTTCTGGCATCATTGTGGTACGAAGAAGGAAGGGTATGAGTCATTCTGATAGCTCTGGGTGTTGGAGGAGGAGAAGTTTCACATTTGATGGTGGCTTTATCTTCACGCCCATCTTCTTCGACTACTGCAATCTGTGGGGAAAGATGCATCATTCAAAGTCTATTAGCTTTTCAAGAAATTTTCAACATATGTTTCAAGAATTTGTCAAGTGAACCAAGACACGTATGGATTCAAGTGCAACTTTCAGAGCACATTGTAAGGGTTTGTATTTTTAAAAGAGGCTTTTGCGAAAGAGCAAAAATTGCCTAGCATGGCAGCTTAAAGTACATATTTGAAAAGAAATTGCATTGAAGAAGAAAAACATTCCTTTTATGCAAAACAGTTTGATCCAGTAAAGGTCTACACAGGAGAATAACTTCATGCATGAGTAGGCATATTGCATTTAACAGGATTATTCATGTAAACAAAGTTTCTTGAGGGATGTAAGGGAGAAGGGAAATATAGACATAAACAAGACCACTCTGTGCATAGGCTGTTAACAGAATAATCAGTGTTTGAAAATAATCATTTAACAAAAAGAAGTTTTGTCACACTATATAATGATTTATCTTGCACACTGTTTCCCCTTATTTAAAGATAGATTGCACATTCAATGCCTGTATGTAAATATGTAAGATACATCAGAAGATTGCAAGCAATCTGCCTGGTTCCTCCAGCAATAGGAATGGCCAAAATATATTGAAAATAATTCTTATGTTCCCATACTTTGTTTTTAACTGTATCCCTTTAAGTTTATGCTGGTGTGCTAGTACTCAACTCTGTCCCTGGAGGACCCTGATTCTTGGATCAGCTGTGACCCTTTCAAGATTTTTTGAGGTAAGATTAAAATGATCGTATTTAAGGATTGAATAAAAAGGAATGGATGAGATGCAATAGGTAGCAAGGAACCCAATTATCTGAACAGTACTGAAGAAGCTCAGAGTGCTGACATGGAAGATTATATTAAGAAGGCTCTTTTAAACTTAAAAAAAAAAAAAAGAAGAAGTATCATACCTTTCTTCGATGTTTCCTTAAGTCACTTGGCTTAGATTGGTAACAAGCAGCAACAACAGAAGAAGAATGATTAGTAAATCTTTTTTGAACAGAGACAGCAAAATGCCTCATGTTCTTCCTTCTTTCTACATACAGAGGAAGGAAATTGAGTTTTCATTCATTTAATTCTTTGCATGGTAATATATTGAATATAAACTTGTGTCACAACACAAGATAAACCCTGACAAATATCCCATTCTCTAAAAGCAATTACTGCTTCTAAAGTTGTAATCTTCTCCATTTTCATATATATGAAAAAATATAGACATATAGGACATTTCAAACATATGGCATCCCCTTTTATAATTGGAATCTTCATTATAAATCCTCCCACTACCCCCTCCTCCAAATTTTTTTTTCATTTTTTCCTAATATTATAAACGCTTATATACTTATCGATATTTCATCAAGCATAAATGCAAAATGTCATCAGCAAACACTATGCTGGGAAAAGGGTATTTCTCTCCTGTTTCCCTCATTCTTAATGTCATTGGTATTTTCAATCAATGGATACAGATATATCCATCTTTGGCACTGGACCACATTATCTCACAGTAGAAGGCTGCCAGAATGTACCTCATTCAAACCCCTTTCCATTTATATTTTCTGGCAGATGTCTCACTCATTTAAATAAGCCAAAGAAACTATGCAGAATTTATTTACTGCATAGATCCTGGTTGTGGAAACTCTTTGTAGTGCTGGTTTTCTATCCACCCTCTACAGTATCATTTGGCAATTTTGGACTCTAGAGACCAAGGATCTCCTCTCAGCTTGGCGTTCCTATTTGGAAGACCTCTGATAGCCTGTTGTGTCCATCCCCAGCCAGTAAGGATAAGGAAACACTCAACTTCTGCTGAAGAAACTCAGGGGCATCCTGAAATGATCCACACAATTGCTAGTGGATGAGTGGAGCTGTGCTGCTGAGCCTGCAGCAGAGCACTGCTTCTACAGCTTAGGATATGTCGAGAGTTTGATTGCAACTTATACAGACACAACCATCTGAGGTTTAGCAGAGCTAGAGCTTGATACCAGGGAGGCCATGGCAACATGACGTACAGAGGCTATACTGTCATTTTGGATTTGAATCTGATGAACCTACTGACTCAAAGCTACCGTGTCCATATCACGGCGACCAGGCAGTGCCGGTCTCTGCTGGAAGGTTGGCTACCCATCGCCGTTTAGCAGCAGCCGAGTCACTCGTTTAAATGACTGGTTAAATGGAGCCAGGCTGTTCAGTCAGTGACACCATGCCCGCCTGCACTCCTGCCTCCTACTCAGCGCTCTGTGCCACCAAGGGTTTCAGATCTGCTGTTTGGCAGAGAGGACCAGGGGGAAGAGCACAGTGGTGGTCATTAAAGAAGGAACAACCATGAGCCCTGACCTCCACCTGTGTTTGGAGACTTCTGTCTTTAGTTCCCTGGGAGGCAGAAAACACCATCCTAAACTGGAATGGGTACAGGTAGCTCAGCCACTTGCCAGCAGCAGGGCTGGGAAGGAGACCTCAGCTGGTTCCTGCATCAGCTACATGACAGCAGACAAATATCCTGATTCCCAGTTGAGCACGAGCCAACTGGATAAGGAACAGCTGGGCTCCACTCTCAGCTGTTTTTAGCAATGTTCTTGGTGAGGAGAGTTAATTCCTACTTCCAAATTGAGATAGAAGCTCATGTCCTCTCTGCTGAGAGCCTCCAACAGGGACATTTGTCACCACTGGGACCCAGTGCTGTTGCTTCCCAGGGATGGACCACAGGAGGAATCTGATGATGTTCAGATCTAATTTTATCATAAAAATAGCAAACAAAAATAAGGTTACAGATGTTTCTATCCTGCTCACAGTATATGAGAGTTCAGCACAGTGGGCTGCTTTGATTCTCTCCCAGGACTTAAAGGGATGAACTTGCTCAGGCTCTAAACTGTGGTTTGTATCTCACACTGCACCCTGTATCTTCACTCTTATGATTATTGGAGCTGGACATCTTGAAAATGTTGACGTGTTATCTTCACTTACTTAACTGTTGTGCTGCTCTGTTTGTTCTATGACCACAATTTATTTTTTTTTCAAAACAGTCTTGTTCTAGAATATGCTTTCAAAGGTACAGTATTGTTAGAATTCTTCTGCATCATGATTTGGTGACTCAATACTTATGCACACTGTTCATAATGTTGAAATGCACAATTTAAATGGGTTACTGGAAAACAAAGCACCTATTTCAAGAGCTTGATACACTAACATGAAGAATACATACAAGAGTCTCTAAGGAGAAAATAAATCTATGAGAAAATAAATTCCTATTAGATGAAAAATAAATCAAGTTGTCAGATATGTGAAGTAGAGGTTTTAAAAGTAATGTTTACTAGACCTTTCCTGGAGATTTAAACTCACTAAGGCACAAAGTCTGCTGGGTAACAACTGCATCACTTCAAAGCTCCTCACTTTAAAAAAAAAATCACATATGAATTGATTACAGTCCAATGACCAATGCTAATTCCACTATCAGTGTAATGAAGGATCTTGATCACCAGATCAAGAAGCCCAGGTGGATCAAACAAAATAACAAAAAAGAAAAGCCTTCAAACATGTACGTATTCTGGGGAATAACTATCTGTACCTACAATGAACAGGTGGACAAACAAGGAGAAAGACAAGCAATTCATACAGTGAAATGAGCAAATACTTCATACTAGAAACATCACACCCAACATTTGCCTCACAGAGTTTCTTACCAGCGTCATGACCCCCATTCTGTCCATTTCCCTGGCTGGACTGCGAGGAGTGAGCTTGGGAGTCGAGTGTCCGCTGGGAGGAGATGAGCTTGCCAGTGATGACGCTGTCACCGAGCCAGTAATGGACGTTCCTTGGTGGACCCTGGCTAGATTTAAGCCTTCCAGGCTCACGCTGGCCACTCTGTTCTCTATTTCTTCAGCACGCAGTTCTGTTGATTCTTTTTCTTCTTGAATTAACCTTGTAAAATAAAAGATGAATGCGTTTTCACAAAGGCCAACGTTAATGAGCTAAAAGTATTCCCAGATTCTGAAAGCAAACTGTTGTCTTTGATACTTTTCACATATTTACACAGACTCACACTGACGTACACAATATATATTTATGCAGAGGTTTCGTATGACCATCACTGACTCTGTCTTTTATTTCTCATTTTAATTTTATTCTTTGTTTCTGTATACTCCAAAAGAGAAACTGAAAGATATTGTAAATTATATCAAAAAAGAAAGGAAATATTAATTTTGTGAATTGACTCCCAAATAGCATTGAAAAAATATCTTAAATCATCAGAATTATTAAATTATATATTTTTAAATCCTCTGGCCTCAAAATCTGTTCGAAGAATTTACCCAACAACAAGACCCAACATATGACATTTCAGGAAGATTGGTTCTTTGTGAAGAGCAAAGGGTAGGGGAGGGGGACTTAACAATCCGATTTATAATAGGAAACTAATTCCAATCTTAAGTTGGCTTCATCTGATCTTCTGTTGCCAAAGCACCAACACAAATTTAAACTCAAATGAAAACAGGCCTTTAAGAAGGGAATTGCTAAGTTAATCTGTATTAATAAAACAAGAGAACATGTAAATCAATTTGTCCATTTCATCCCCCAAAATGATGGGAAAAAAATACAGTTGCTTTTAAGTCAAAGCTTTTAAGTGATTTTCATTAAAATAGATCTCTTGTTGGACACAAACATAATTTTCTTAAACATATGTAGGCTCAACAGGATGCTTTTCCTGGGTTCTTGGGTTCCTGGGTTCTCCAATTGTACTTATAATGATAACATAGGCAGTCCATTTTCCACAAACCTGTAATAAGAAGAGTCTTTTTGGGGGATAGGAGGAAAGAACATGAGGGATCAAGGCAAAACAGGAACTTGAAACCTGGAGAGAGAAACTGTGAGCCAAGCTTTCTGAGTGAAATGAATAACAAGTGAAGATATAGTATGTTGAAAATATACACCAGCAAATTCCCATGCTGTGATGTGTTTTCTTAAAGCCTTTTCAACATTTCTATAAAATTGTTACAGTTCTTTCCAAAATGGGATGTGGTAGGAACTCAAAAGCAAATCATAATTTGACAGGGATTTCTTTTTTTTCATTTAGTAATCTAAATCCTGTATCATCTTCTATTAATCTCTTTTGATATATCCAATCATTTGATAAATTGTTATGAGCAGTGTTCATCAAGAAAAAAGATCAAGAATTTATGCAATGCAATAACATCTGGGAAGACATCCTTGTTGAACTATTTTTCCTGAAATGTATACATATATTTTAAAAGGAACACAAAATTAGTTACCTAAATCATTAAGAGTGACGGCGAACGGTAAAAAAAAAAAAAAAAAAAAAAAACCCAAATTATACTTCAGTATAAAATGATCAGCAGGGGAAACAAAAAAACCTTTTCTTAATTGACCTCAAGCAAAAATGTCTATAAATGATATCTTCTTTTCATGTTTCTGTTTTTATGACATAAAACAATACCCTAAATCACAATCCTGTGCTCAGTAATAGAATTATCTGTATCAGTACGGTACAAATAGTATCCTGATAGATTATCTGCAGGTACAATTCACTTACCTGTGTGTATTTAAAGTACAAAACATCTTGTTATATTTTTAACAGTAAAGCTGTCAAACAAGATAAATATGTCTGTTGAATCTATAACTTCCTGACCTGGTCACAGTGCTGACATTTCCATAAAAGAGAATTTTATCTGTTTTTTATTATGTATACTGGAAATATATCATTTTAAAGAGATTTTCCCTCCTAATAAGAAAATGTTCTTTATACTTTCTATCTTGATAGCTGCAATTAATCCTATCTAAAAATCAAATGAAGAAATTTTCACAGTATTAAAAAGGCAAAATGCAAGTTATCTAACAAAAAGCCTCCTCCTGGGAAAAGTCGCCAGAGTTACTCAGGTTATTAAGGCATTAGCAGCATCTCTTTCATTTCCTTCTTAAGGAGCAGAAGCTAGAGAAAGGATGTTCTTGAAACATGTTTTTTAACTACTTTTCCTGAAAAACATTTAAGATTTTTTTAAGCATAAAGTATGGTTTCACTTGGAAAGATCCCTTAATTAAAATAGTGTTCTCTATTATCCCATTAAATCTGCATAGATATCAGCAAAACACATTAATTTAACTATTTCCAAACTCCCAACTTGGAGCATGAAAAGGTCACACTCTCTGATTCCATCTATGTCTTAGAAAAAGTGGCTTATCTGAGATATAATACAGGAACAATTGGCAGAAAAAGATAGGAACAGTACTGAAATATTTCAGACAGGAGGTCATCACTGAGAAAGCAGAGCTATGCAGAATACAGAAAAAGATCTAGAAAAGCAGAAAAATAGAGATCTGTCAAATGCTCCCAGCGTTAGCCTTCTCTAACATATTTCCTTTTAAGTGGCCAACATTTCTTCATGTGGGGCACTTTGAAAGCCATATGCCTAGGAAATGAAGAAATCATTGTTATTTTCCCACAAAAAATAGTCAAAAAACAGACGTGTTCCCAGTCCTTCGAATATATGCCAGGTTTTCTGACAGTGAACAATGGTACCTGAACATTAAGGCGAGGATAAAGCTCTAATCAAGAAGCACATCCAAGCAGATTCAAGTCACATACCTGATTTCTTTATTGATAGCATCTAGCTGCTCCTGAAGCATCATGGCCAGAGTCTGGGCATCCGAATGGCCACTCGGTGATAGGAGGTCCATGGAGCTGAAAAGTGTTTCTCTATCATCATCATCAATATCAGACATTTCGGTGTCGCTTTCAAATGGATGGCTGCTCAAAACTCCTATCTGCTGAGTCCTATTCCACTCATGATCTCCAAGTGATTTTACCTAGTAGGAATTAGGAAGTGAATAAGGCTTAGTTCATGAAGAACAATTTCAAAATAAAACAGCAAAGAAGAGCAACTAACATTTAATGGTCCTTATTCAATGATTAATTCTCCATTAACACTAGTAATATTACTGCAAAAAGGCTTTTCTTGGCATTGCAGATGGTATAAAGTGTTTTCATATAATTTTTAAAGCTGTGTTAAATTAACTAAAAGAGAAGTTTGCAATGATGCCAAGAAAAGACAGATAGAAAAATTTGTTTGAACTTTACTATCTGAACTTAAATCTTCTCTGCCTTCGTTTTAGCACAACGGTGCTCTTGTCTGAGTATGTATGGGGAAAGCAAAACAAAACAAAACAAACCTTGCTGTTTATATTTAATATGCTTTTTTTCCTGAAAAAAAAAATCTGTAAGATTAACAGTCTGAAATATATTCTCTTAGCAAGGCATATTTGAAGTGAAAGTGGTGATTAACCTTTGGTTCATCCCTGCGCACTCCCATCCGGCCCCTTCTAGGTCGCCGTATCACTTTAGTTGACCGATAGTCAGACTGGCTGTCAACCAGGGAGCCCACAGAATACCGCAGCTCTGCTGATGTGTCAAGATGAGGCCTAAAACAGAGCCAAAGCAAGAGACTGAGCGTAGTAATAACAGTAATAATCCACCTTCGGTTTAGAAAGACAGATTGTTAATTTTTTTTTTTTTTTAAGTTCCTTTTTAAGCAAACGAGCATGTCTCACAGACAAAATGACAAAACTATTACACTTAAAAGCTTTTAAAAGCAAAACATTGAAATCATATTATGAGAAAATTAAGGCAGTAAAAAAATTTGTTTTTTTCAAAATGAAGGCATTGCCTAATAAAAGTTATGATCCAAAACTTTTACATGGAAAAAGCAAGTAAACATGGTAAACACAATGAACTGTACTGACTGTTGAATCTACTATCCTATGGATTTTCCTTCCATTACTTTCCTGAATAAATATTCCTGAGGTTACAGTAAGGATGTCACAAGTTCAGGAGTAAGGATATCTATACAAAATTCTGTCTGTAAAGCTCTGCTCTGCATTGTGGAAATGAAATGCCCTGAGATATATACAGTGTAGGTTATGAATGGATTATGAGTATATCTAATGATGCTTTTGAAACAGTAAGCCTGAGAAAAAGCACCTACAAGGTTTCAAATAAAAATACATTTAAGGCATGAGTGTGGTTTTGAAATGAACGGCAAGAAAAATGAATCCTACTCCAGAAAGATTCTGGAATAATAACGGTTGACCCTGGATTTTCCTATGGACTCGATAGGTCTTGGGATGATGTGCTGAGCATGGGCTTGCTGGCTTCAGCACATCTTGGCTGTAGACACTGTTCTCCAGTTTTTCATGTCCTGGATGAAACAGCAGTTGCAAAAGTTCCCCTTAGAAACATCCCACTATGGGTGTGCAGCGAAATCAGAAGAGAGCAGCTCTGTGCACCATTTGAGCAGTCAGCTCCAGCAATGGAGACCTGGCCAATATCTAGGTCTTAATATACAGTAGATCTCCACAGAAATATATGAATACCATGCACAGGTACACGATTATAGTAGCACACAACCACAGTAGAAAAAAAAAAAAAAAAAGAAAAGAAATGTAACTACTACTACATTGATAAGACAACTAAACATATATGTGTTTATAGAAACTCCAAAAATATGCTCATGGCTTTCAAGGAGGACAAGGAAGAGTGCTCAAGCTCCACACACAGATGAGCACAGCCCTGCGTTAGCTCTCCCTGACAGAGCTGCAGTGGAGAGAGGAGGACTGCCTGCTAAAACCATGCCATTAGTAATCAGATTTAATTTCTGTTTTACTAATAACAGGGATAGGAGAACAAAGCCTTTCTACTTGACGTTTCAGGATCTATAAGAGCATGGCAGTTCTCTATAAGAGAATGGCAGTTTAAAGCTGTATTTAAATATTTTTTAAAACTAAGGGGAGAAATGTTTACAATGAGCTACAGACAACTTGCAAGGTTCACAGCCACATTAATAATCAGTTTCAGAAACAAACCAGAAAGAGAAAAGGGAAACAAGAGGGAATTTTTGTTCTTAAACACTTCTCACACTTTAAAAAGAATGCTGCCCAGGAAAAAAGATGGTTTTAGTCTTAGAGATAAAAGCTAAAAGCAAAAAAGTAACAATAACAAACATAGCACGGATGTTATATTTTTAAAGAAATACATGATTACTTTTATGTGCAGTCTGAACACATTCTTGTAAATGTTAGGCTTCTCTATTTATGTTCTCTTGCAATGGAAAGCTGGGAAATATTTTTCTTTAAATGTTACCTTGACAATGAGGGTTCAATTAAAGAACCAGCCCTCAACTTCATCTGGTCCAGTTCAGATCTCAGTTTCTCGATTTCTTCTGCGAGTCTTTCCTGGAAATGAGGAAAATATGATATGCTTACTTTAGATACAATATTAACTTACTTTATGAGATATTAATCTCATAAAGCTAAACAAATACAATAAAATACCTTGAATATAAGCTTAAATATAATTTTAAAAAATGAACTCAGTGGTTTCATTATTGCTATTAGAATATATGAATCGAGAGCAGATAATATAGCAAGTTTTCCTAATTTTTTTCACTAGTTAAAAAGAATGACAGGGCAGGTATATGCTTGAAATATTTCTTCTTTTGGTAGTGTCTGCAAAAGAAGAATCAAAAATACGTAAAAGAAATAGGTGCTAAACCTAAAAGTAGCAAATAATTGAAGACACAAAGCAAGCATTATTTACTCTGGAAAAATATGAAAGAAGCATTGATAATAACAATTAAACTATTATGAAAATGGAATGACCAGTAATTGCATTGTACCACTCCTCCTTCTGCCTCACAAAACAGCAGAACTATGACAAATGTCAGAAATAATACTCCTAAAGCTTGCTAGCACTAATCAGGTTCTCTTCCAGCAAAATGATAAAAAGTTTTGATTCAATACATATGGCTTTAGAAATATCTGTCCTGTTGCTTAACTTGATGGAGTAGCATAATCTTGATTTTGCCACAGAAGATGCATCTTATAACTATAACAATAAGGGAGGAAAATGTAATTTATTTAAAGTAATTTGTCTGCTATGTCATTTATTTATTTAAGGCATGTTATGAAATATCACCTTCTCCAACATTTATACTGGGATAGAAAATATTTTAATTGTTCTATAATAGTGGAGGAATAGCAAGGAATTGCCTTGCTGTTCAGAATATCATAACACCGACAAGTGTTATTTTGCAAGTCTCATTCTCTTTTTCCATGCCTCCACCACAGAAATTCCTTGATCAAATTTACTCTCACAGTTTGCATAGAAAGAATAAAGGATGGTGGCATGACTGTGTTTATGCAGGGAAGTGGATTAGCTACTGCGGCATACTTAGGAATGAATAAGGAACAGAGTAAACTACATCATGAAAAGGAATTTACAACATGTATATCTATATGAGGAGTCATTCTAGAAGAATTACTACAGTTTATATCCCCTTAAAATTTGCTCTGAGCTGCTTATCTGGCTTCATAAAGAATATATACAGCAGCCAAGAACCCAAACAATTTCACCAGCTCCTTTTTGGGGCTTTAATCAGAATCTCTTTCTTCCTTTCTGCAAGGCTATCTGAATGTGGATGAAAATAACAATTGATTTGCACATATGTTTTTTTTTTTTTTTTTCTCCTCAATATATCTGGTTTGGGATGTAATTGTATTCTTCCCCAGAATCAAATGGCACTATGCTTTCAGCATTGTATACAATTTCTTTTACATGAATTCAATACATTACAAAAACACACTATGAATCTGAAGGCAGATATATTTGTGTGCCCTACTGCCCACAAGGCAAATACAACTTGGAAAAAAATCCAAACGCTTGGATTTCAAATAAATATTTATAATTAACCTGACTGCTTCAATAAGCAGTACTAGGGATTAAGCTGCAATGAACTAAGAAAGGTCATTTTCAGTTATATTTAGCATAACATCACTGCACCTGTTAAGAAGAATTGCATCAAATCCAGCAATTATATTATTCACTGTAAAAGTGTAACCAATTATAGGCACATCTCTGTTAAACAAGATTACTTTCAGAATTAAAACTGATAGAAGAAAAAATCCAGAGCAAGTAAAATCAGTACGAATTTTAGTTTTGACTTCCTGAGGCTAGCATTTGAACCATAAACCAAGCTTGCAAGAATCATTAGAAACCCTCAATGACTAATAGAAACATTTGGGTGATTAAAAGAATTATCAGTAATAACAAGAATATTTTACATGTCAGCTGAGGAATCAAATATTCTTAATATATATACATAAATAATAAATATATAATGTTTGATAAAAAAGAAGAAATAGCAGTATTTTATAGTACCTTGTCATGTAAAGACTCTTCCAGGTTCTTCCTGAAACTTTCAGATTCTTGAATTAAAACATTCTAGGAAATAAAAAGGAAATTGAAACATAGATAAAAGAGGCAAAAAATTAAAGAAGTGTTAAATATCAGATACCATCATAGATATGCAGCCCCCATACTCAGGCTAACAAGGTAAGCAACAAATCAGCCTTGTTAATCACCGAACTTAAAATATTTTAGTGCTTCGATTTGAGCCCATATTAAATGAGAACACTAAAAATAACCAAAACATGCCAGAAAAATCATTCAAGAACAGGAAAAAAAAGATTTTTTTTTCTTTTGAATTGAGTGACTCTTAAGCTTTACACATCTATTTCTCCCAAGTTCTTCTTTTTTACTGGTATATTTTGCTTTGTAAAGCATTTTGCTTTGATGATAGGACTTGGAAGTATATCCTCTGACAGATGCTGAAATACCCTTCTGAAAGATTTTCCTCAGATCAAACTAGAGGTGCATAAATTGAAGAAGAAGCGATTAAGGAAATTATGGATAAAAAGGTCTTATGATTTTAATCTTACAGGTACAGTATGGCTTACAGAAAGCTAACACATCATGGAAAGCCAGTAGATACCATCCCTTCTCCTATGGGGAGGGTATTTCATTCTTATTTCACACAGCAAGGAGCTAAAATTATCAGGCTGAAATACTGGATTGAGAGAACATCTGAAACACTGCCATCCTCAGTGCTAATTCCCTTTTGCTCGCTGTTTCAGAGTATTCTGATTATTTACTGGACTGGTTATTTACACACTCTGCCTCACTCCCTCCATTGACCGAGGGAGGACTAACTCCTCAGCACATCCACTGCACCTTAGACCTGGAAGGATTCTTGAGTGCACACCCTAGCTAAGATTTAAATGCATAAACAAAACCACTTTTGTGGCAGCATTTGTGGTGTAAAGAGTTAGTATGATGTGCATTTGGATAAAAGAAGATGTGCTATTGCAGAGATTCTTTGTTTAGCTGGAGCTTATCCTGCTCTTTGCACGTTACCTTCTCCTCGAGCGCCGCCATTCTCTCTTTTAAGTGTAGCTGCAGACGTTCATTGGATTCTGTCAAAAGTCTGTCTACAGTATCTGAGAGTCTTTTGTTGTGCTCCTCATTCATCTTTTCTCTTTGCCTTGCCTTTAATATAGGACAAAAGGGACAGATTGGTAGGGTTCAGACTTATATTTTTAAAAAGCAAAAGCTTTATGGTAATTGAACACATTTAAGAAATTCCACAAGAAATCTAGTTACGCATTCACTTTTGTAGCAGCAGAATACTCACAGATCTGCAACTAGACGTAAATTACTATATTAAGATGGTCAAATAAAATGGGAAAATTTTGCCACCACTGATACAAATAAAGCATTTATTAATCAACAGATTTATGTGCTGCAGGTTATAATGTAGCAGTATATCAACAAGTAAAAATGTGCAGAAGTTATGTGCATTAAACATACTCTTTGAAGTTCCTGATTCTTCTCTTCAAGTTGAGCTTCTAAATGTCGCATACGTTCTTCAATATTTCCATGTCTTTCTTCTGCCTGTAAAAAAATAGAGACACTCTTTGTAATTTAAATGGCTTTGCAAGTCTTTATCTCAGTAAAGTTTAAACAAAACATAAAGCAAGCTACTACTAACTGCAAACTGAGTTTTCAGAAAAGAAACTTCATTTAAACAGGCAGCTGAACAGCATTGCTTGAAATGTGTCAGCTATGAAGGCCTGTTACATCCAAGCATCAGCAAAACATTGGAGTTATTTATGAGCAATGAAATCAGCCAAATGTAACATGCAGACTGTGCATGGTTTGAACACAAACCTGCCATTGTAAAATTGTAAGCTCCTGAAGCACTGAACTGCACAATGGTTGATTATCAATTAAAAAAAAATAATAAAAAAAATAAAACAAATCAGATGGATTCTATTTAGCAATAGAAAGTAAAGTCCAGTAGGACTACCTTCCTACGTATGGAGATCATTTCTTGTAGTTTAGCTTCCATAACATATTGATAATCATCAGATGAGGTAGAAGAGGTTGGATCAGACTAACAAGTCAAGGAAAAGGAGAGGGACAAAATTGAAAAATCAGAACTAAAGACACTGACACTGAACAGAACACAGCACAGAATGCTTAAAAGAAAAGTGTGACTGAAAATTTAATACTTTTAACTGATAGATTTTTACGTGGAATAAACTACACTGATACTTGGCGGTGATGGTGCAGTTGATGAGTAAACTGAAAAATAATGAAATGCTAAAAAAAGCTATCGACCTACACATGAAGTTTGAGGTTAGTGATGACTGGCTGATGACAGATTACTACACAGTGAAATCAAAGCAATTCTAAGAGAGTCTAATGTTATTTGAAATTATGGCTAACTAAACAACAGAATATGATTCTGCAAGGCCAATGTCAGAAAGTCCTTCATAATTTTTCCACCATTTTCTAGGAATGAAAGCAATGCATAAATATTAAATCAATGGCTTTGTCAATTATAGACCTGTGCGATGTTATGGTCTAGTCCCTAATTTCTAGAAAACCAAAAGAACGTCAAGAGAGAAATGGCTTAAGTTTTAGTATTCCATCGTAGAATACACTAGAGAAGCTCTTTTATCCAAACAAATAGCTTTTATCCTTTTGAAAGGATCCACGCTGGTGGATCCCTTTTGCAAGATCAGGGTCATCAGATAAAAGAACCACCTATAAACAGAAATTCATTAATTGGAACAAAAAATCATTACTGAATATAGAAAAGGTAACACATCCAAAGATTCATTACTACGTCTGACAAAAGTTGACCTTAGTTGCAAAAGATGAATGTCCATTTATTGTCATATTAAACAAGTCTGTGTCATAATCAAAAATGAAAAAGAAAAATAGAAGAGGGAGGAATGCTATGTTGAATTTGCTGCTATGGAAACAGAAATGTGCCTACCGATGCCTTTGAGTCATGAGCCTGGGCTTATTGAACATTATTTCATTCTTTCAAATTTGCCCTCTGTCAAAGAGGGATCCCAAACTCTTAGTCTTCAGATGAGCAAACCCCAATAAACACTACTTTTGAAATTGTATTCTTTAGTGAGACTGCTATCTACTATTGATGTATCAGAATAATAATTAGGAATAGATATTAAAGTAACTCCATCTGTACAACACAACTTCAAATTGAATATAACTTAAACTTAGAAATATTAGACTGAAATATTAGAAAACAAAACTATGACCTGCAGTTTTATAAATCTAAACTGCAGCTGCTGCTTTGTAGACATGTATAAGAAAATCTTGTTTTGTACAAATGTAAGCATTATGTTTAGCTTTGAAGACCACTAATACTTATATGCTTTTCAGATTAAGTATATTTACAAAATTCAAATAATTCCAAAATGGAAAGAGAACAGTCAGTATAACTTCTGACTAAGCTCATTTGATAAGTGCAGTTACTGATTCTTGCTTCTGATCATGAAAGAGGCCTGTTGTGATCCATTTGGACTTTCTACCTGAAACGTCCATCTATTTGTTACAATTTAGACCTGTGACAATCACCCTGCCTCATTCTAGCTTTGAGTTTTGCATATTAGCTTGTTTTAACACTCACATGATATCTCACTGCTTTTTCTCCCAAATCAGATAAATACGAATATAGGATTGAAAAAAACATCTGTTCCTGGAACTGCAGAAACAAGACCATATTATCCCTTCCACGGCTGACCAAGCTTTCTCTTAACAGGAGATAACGTTCTTCTCTCACCTCTCTGCCTGCACCACTGGTTGGAGAATTTTCCTTAATGTGGAAAGAAGGAGGTTTGAAATCACCAAAGCTCTGAGCTCATGATGAAGGATTAAGGAATAAACATTTACATTTTTTTTAAAAAAAGTATATTCCATATAACTGTAAAATAACCAAATTATTTTTGTTTTGAGATGTCAAACAATTAAGCACAGCTGCATCTCTGAAAGAAGACAAGTGTGTAGCCAGAGTCACAACCCAGGATGTTAACTCCTTTGAGGAATTTTAACCACCAAGTCAAAAGACCTCTTCATAGGACTCAGAAGTCCACCTGGACAGCTATGGACTCTGAGGCTCATAACCAAAAGCTGGGTTTCATCTGTACTGCTTTGCTGAGACAAAATCACTTAATAACTTTCTGAGGGGGAATTTGTGTGGCTACTGGCCTGGCAGACCTCACCCTAGGTTCTTTTTAATATAAGATATATGTGACAGTTTTTTCTTACTCTGTATAGAAGGATTAGCAAGACACGTTCTATGGTATTCAGCAAGTAGCATTCAAAGTATTTCACTAGCATATTCAGTTATAAATAGATTTGTGAAATTGTGCGTCTTAGACTGGATTAGAAATATATGGACAAGAATGTCTAACAATGTCTAACCCACTCTGAGATACCAGCATGACTCTTAATGCTCACTTTGTACTTTATATACTATGAAATAGGAAAGAAATAACCAGTATAAGCCAGTAATAGAGAGGAAAAAAACTTGCTTTGATGGAATACCAAAGCTGCTCTAACCCTGTTAAAACTCTGCTGCTGCGCCTGCTGCTAATGCGCCCACCAGAAAAAGTGTTGCTTTCACATCATCTGTTACTGTTGGCACTGCACATTTTCTAGGTCCTTGTATCTTAGTTGAAAAAAAAAAAAAAACAATTTCCACCATGCTGATGAAGAAAGCACCTGTACAGTACAGGTATCATCATTTTTTTTCATTCTCCTGCTGAGCATTTTTCTAATGGCACAAGCTGATTTAGACAGTTTGGAGCCCTTGACTTTTGAACACCTGCTGTCTCCAGATTTTTGCTCACTCTTGTGGCTCTCATTCTTTTGGCTCTATCTTGAATTACTGAGCTACCCAAGAATAACACAATGCGTTACTGAACTATGCAAGGTGCATTTGAAGGTGATCATGCTGACTGAGCCACATAAGCTCATAGAGTTGTCAACTACTGATGATATATTCACTTCTAGCCTATTGCAAATATGAAATAAAACATGCTGGCTTAGATCATTCCTTCTTCTTACATCCAACCTTCTAGTTACCAGATATCCACATATTCTTGCCCCTCCTCTTTTTGCGGCTACTTTCCACACCTGTTAAGCCTAGCCAGAAACTCCTTTCATTTGGCTCTGTCACCCCTTGCTTACTTCATCCCCCTACTAAGGCAAAAATCTTCTGTGGAAAGAGGGATGGTTTGACAGTAAGATGTTGTGAACATGGAAGCATTTCTTGTGTTTCCCTCCTCACAGAAGAATTTTCTCTCTTTTTTTTTCCCCCAGCAGAAAATTAATCAGCATCCTTCAGCAGTGAATATATCATCTTTTCTTCCTTCTTTCTTCCCATTCTTCTCAGAGAGGTTTCTGACATGCACCTAATTCCTTCTTGTCTCCTTTCGCTCTCGTTGCTTCTTCTCAACTTAATGCAAACCAGGTTCCCACAAAACACGCACACCTCACTTGCCTCCAATTTTTACATCATTTTTCTTCACCTTTAAAATTCACTAAATGTGTTACTGTGTTAAATGTGTTTTATTATGACTATGGTATATGACTGCTACCTCAGTTTCCTTTTCTCCTTCTCAGTGCTTTCCTAATGCAGTCAAGAAAACACTGTTGCATTTCTGGTGACCTGTGTGCTAGAATGGCAGCATAAAATGCTCAAGGCAGTCTTGTGAGAGGAGGAATGAAGGTGCAAGTCAGCTGCACAACAACCAGGACGAGAGCGACTTCTGGTGGGAGTGAGTGAATGGAAGAAGGTCGATGCACTAAACCATTTCCTAAATGCATGGAAGGATGAAGCACACTTGACAGACTATCTATTCAGAGATGCTGAATGCTCCAATGTCTGTCTCTTCTGGGGAAAATAGGTACCTTAAAGATAAAGAAAGGTACAGCTACCAACTGCCTCTTCTTCAGGGCAAAAATCACACCATGAGAGTGGGTACAAGGTGGCTCAATGAATCATAGCAGTCTAGATCCCGGGATACATGCTGAGAGCTGCGCTACTTGTCATGACCAGACAAAATGCCAGTGCAATGGCCAGGCAGGACAGCACAGTACATGAGATCATGCTGTTCCAGGTTAGTCTGCCACAGGTTGACTAACCCTCCCCTTGCTCACTCAATGGTCAGAACACAGTGAAAACAAAGCCAAAGAAAAGGTTAAATGATTCAGGTAAAGTTATGAGTACTTATCTGAGTTCACTGTATAATCCAAACTTTTGGAAGTTCACTCCTTATTGAACTAGTTTGGGCATGGAAAAGTAGCAAAAGACATTCACTAGCCCATAGAAAATAAGAAATTTAGTTCAAGTTTTAAAAACTGACACAGAAGAAGGATTTTGCGCTACACCCTTCTTTTGCAGGATCCCAACTCAGGGATTTTATGAGGAAGAATATAATAAATTGAATGCAGGATTGTAACATGCATATTTCCAGTTTGCAAAAAAAATAACATCCAAATCCAAAACACAGTTATTCTGCTCTATATGCATATGTAGATGATTGTTTTTTTTTTTTACTCACAGCAAAGCAGTCATGGCTTCCAGTTATCCCATACCACTTTCCTTTAATAAGCATGTAAAACATATTAGGCTTAACTCACCTTTACTTTCATATCATTGTAACCCCCTTAATCTCAGTGAAGTCACTTTCACTGAGGTAGTATAAAAGAAAGGAGAATCAAAAAATGGGATTTTTTTTCAGTGCAAAAAATCTTGCTGATTTAGAGGACTCATCTTTTACTACTTACTACACACCACTATTGACCACAGCTTATGTAGGCAGGCTTAGGTTAGTCTGAAGCCAGGTAGTTTGAGCAGTACCCACAGAGTAGGCTTACTGGCACAAAGCTCAACACCGTTCAAGATAACTTCAGTGTTACTCAGCTTCTTGGGCAGGTTTTTGAGCTTTCATAGGGTAGCTAGTCCGTTAACATCACCCCAACCAGCCAATTCATAGCTACTCAAACAAGCTGAAGCGACTGCAGCGTAGTCACTGGTTCCAGGCTACATTTGTGTGATCCATGAAAGATACTGGACTTTAACTTTCAGCTTGCATTTCTTTCTTCAGCTTTCTGTGTAATCAGAGAGAAATGGACAGAACTGACATTACAGTCTGATTGACTTCTCAGGCTTTCCCTCTTGGCAAAAAGGCTTTGAAGAAGACCGTCAAAGTGAAACGGGGTGGTGTGTCAGCTCTGTTCACCGTTCTCTAACCACATTGAATGAAACAATGTAAGAAACAAACAGAGATGTACACTGGAGCTTTATGGTTACAATAACAGCAATATCCCTGGGTAGTCTGCATGGTTGGACTGGGATTTCTTCTTGTAGTATTTGCCAGTAATACATGTTCAGGAAAAAAAAATGCAGTTGCAAGAAAAGACATGCTGGAGACTGCAAAATACTTACTGGTGCCTAATTGCTGCAGAAATTATTCAAGAAAAGTTCTCTTAAAATAGAAAACAATATTTTTAAGCTACTAAGGGCATTAAAGTATGTGATTATTTGTTGATTGAGGAAAAGAAAAAAAAAAAAAGAACATTAAGTTGCCAAGGGATTGCTCTTATGTGCATCTTAGTTTTCATTAAAATGCAGTAATATATATTTGGTATTTCATGTAGCTCCCTTTATGTTGATTCTTCTTTTTTCCACCATTTTCAGTCTGCCTTTCAGATTCCCACCCATTCATATAAACCTAAAGTGGACAGCACAAAATCTTGATTACTGAATGAAACCCAAACCCCTCCCTCTAGTTCACTAAATTACACAAAAATCAGGCTTCATTAATGAGCCAATTAGCACTTAAGGTTTCTGTATAAACAGAAAAACATGAGAATTGCAAAAAAGAAAAAAAAACTATTAAATATAAAAGTGGCTAGGCATATATATAGCCAGAAATATTTCTTGGCAATACAGAAAACATATATGATATCTTAGATAAATCAGAATGATATGTAATACACTCTCAAACACATTTTTCATTTTTGCCTGATTTGAAAGTAGGAGGAAAGAAAAAATGTTACCATTATATGTCCTAATGAAGCTCATCCTGCCTGAACTTAGCTTTAACTGCATGCATACCTGGAAGTATTATAGAGGCTAATTGTGATAAGCACAGTACTGAAAATTTGTTTTTAATTTCGTATTTTTCTACAAGAAAGCTGCCATGTAACAAGCTGCTATCAGAAAAAAACACTGTTCATAATCCTCAGGGGTTTCAAATTTTTCTTTCTGATTACACAATAGAAAGAATGATTAAAACAAGCCTCCTAAGTATGTACTGCAAGTATGTAGAGCAAAACATCTTCAATTGCCTTGCACAAATGATCCCAGCTACCATTAAGATTTGGTTTTATAGCATTTTGGGGGATGAAAATAATTGTTTCATGAGCATGATGCGTGAAAACGTCTATAACTATGACTACCCCCCTCAACCTCCTTTCCCTTTTCCGTAAATTGAAATCTCTAAATTAAAATCTTCCTGGCTTAGTTAATATTTTGAAAAATCTATGACTGCTTTATAAATGCATGGTAGGTTAATTTACAAATAACTATTCCACCTGTGGCCAAAATGGCAAGAATTACGAGCACATCACTGAGAACATCGCCGGGTAGTACTAACTTGTGGTACATACTTAGCAGGAAACATTTTCTCCTTTTTGAATCTGTTTGAGGGCGCGTTATTTTTGCCTTAGAAGGGAAGAGGGCTCTGGATGCAGATCACAGCCGGGACGGACTCTGAAATGAACCTATTTCTCAGGACAGTACCTTGGTGAGGGCCGCGATCCTCTGCGCCAGCTCAGCCTCCACCTCGGGCAGGGTTTCAGCCTTCCGCATAGTCTGCTGCAGCTTCTGCTCCGCCAGCTCCAGGCGCTCCTGCAGCTGCCTGTTCTTTTCTTCCAACTGAAGGCCAAAGATAGAGAGAACTATACATAAAGAGGCAGAATTAAGATTTTCCTTCCTTAGCTATCAAAGGAGCAACCAAAATCACTACAGGTGAAAGCACTGGGATAGGCAGCTGTGCTAATGTGACAGCTCAGCATCGTATGCGGGCCAAGAAAAGGTGGTGTAAAACAGTACCAATGAAGATGATCAAAATACCCCTTAATCTACATGCTGTTTATCTAATCAGCTTGAAAATATTGGTGCTGGTAAAACAAGAATTTTTATATGTCTAGCATGGAAATATACAGGAACTAAAATGAGAAAAGAGGAACAACTCTAAAAGAATAATTTGCCAGCAAATTTTCTGAACAAACTGCCAAATGCAATTTTTTTGAACGACTGCCAACAATATATTAGGTGATGTTAAATCTGACAATTGTTGCTCAGTTAATTCATTCATTATCATATCCTATTTGAAGAGATATTGTTTGTTGTGAGCCTATAATTAGACCTCATTTTACATCAGTAAAATTGCTTAATCCTTGATAACCACCAAAGAAAAGAAAGACTTCAAAATCTTTTTCATAACTGAAGTATCTTCTGGCCTAATGAGATGTACTACCTGATTAATTCATAGATCGATTAGTGTTACCCACTCCCCTGTTCACTCCATGTAATAAAAGCCATAATGGAAGAGGAGTGTGCCTTTAGATTGTTTTGTTTTAATCCTTCAAAAGCATTAAAAGTATGCTTTTCGTATTGCAGTGCAGCAAATGAACTTTAGGTCTTTCTTGTATGTACTCTAAGCCTAGATCTATTAATCACTGTTTTGAGTAGGTAGTTCTTGACAGCGCAGAATGACTCACGATGAGAGCAATAAAACCTTTAGAGAGATGCAGCTGCATTTGTTTTTTTTTTTTTTTTAAATGATTAAAGATGCATCTTAAAATAGTCAAAATAATTCGGTAGAATTCAGAGAGGTTGTTTTCTGATGCTTTAATTTTGCTGAATGTATGTATATACAGACAAAGGAATGTGTGTAAATGTATCTTCATACAACTACAGAAACAGGTTATCAGACCTTACAAACCTATTTCCAAGGTAGCATTTTATTTTGCTTGAAGACATGATAGGTGGAAAAGAATAAGGTCTTTGATACTGAGAAAGAAGAGCAATTTCATCTTAGACAGTTTAAATAACATTCACTTCATGTTAGCTTTCTGTTCGCACCATATTTCTGAAATTTTAAACAATGTTTTTCTATTCACTTTGCACTAGAGCTTTTGGAATCACCCAGGAGACAAAGTGCCATGAGAGACAACTGCATAATCAGTTTATACTCTTTTATAAAGGTATTCATAGATCATTTTATCATCTCTGTAAAATCTTTTCTATGCACTACTAATACTTGAAATCATTATGATCTATTTTACACAAATTTTGGTCATTCCTGCAGAAGAGACCTGTTTTTTTTTTTCATTTTTTTTACCTTTCTATGCTGAATCTGTTTAAAAAAAATAAAAATATATCTTAAGATAGCATTATATAAGAACCCTTCACTTAGGGGATAAGCTGATGTGCCTTTATGCAAGACTGTTAGAAATCACGATCACTTAACAATGTTGAATGTGCACATTATTTTGCTGTTCATGGTTGCAGTATCTGATATGAAGCTTAGAGATGCTCAACAACTTAACTTTCTACGTGCAAATTATCCATTGATGCACAACAAGCAGCCTGACCTCTCCCTGTAGATGTGACTCCTTTTTGTGTGTGAATTTTCATGTTGTATGAAGAAAGCGACTGATGGAAATACTGAACCTGACGCAGGATGGCTTCCTTGTTTGCCAGTTCATTTTCCAGCTTATCGTTCATGTCATGTATAGAGGTGGATTCTCTCTGTGCACTGAGGTAGCGCTTCTCCAGTGTAGTGATTCTTTCTTCCATATCTTCTTTTTGTGCCATTGCCTAACATAAAAAGAAATTATAATCTCACATAGTTTTATACCAGTTTAATTTTTATGCTAACAGTAGAGAGGGATGCAAAGTATGCATAGCAGTATTTTTTTCTGTTTAAAACAGAACTTATTCTCTTTAAAATTTCTTAAAAGGAGATACTTGAAGTGGTCACTATTTTTATGGTGTCTACATATTTCTCTGTGAAGCGAATGCAACAACCCCAGCTCACATTTATTTATCTGCTTTTTAAACAAGGGCAGACTTGATCAGAATATTGATATAACCACATAATAAAATCAATATCACAGTGCGGTAATGTGGGAAATTTTGTGCCAAAGTACATGTAACAGGCAGCAGATAACATGTCTGAAATCGCAGAAAAATAAATGACCAAATGTTAGATATATAACATATGTTATCTGGGTAACATATCCATATGTCATGGATATATATAATTAAATCCTCTGCTATTTTTATAACACTCCATAATATTGGTCCAATGAAGATAATAACTTTAACTTAGATTATTCATCAGTAATGAACTGGATATTCCACTTTAATTTGTTTTATTGGAAGCAGAAAGTTTTATTAAACTGCTGCATTTTGAAAGAACTTACATGTTGGCACATAATCTTTCACAATGAAAATATTTACATATGAGTACATCTTGCCATATGTGTTGTGTTACATTATGAAAGCAGTGATGTTGATATAAGTAAGATTTAAGTGAGAAACCATGAATAAATAAATTGATTCAAATAGCTAGTCCCAAGATCATATTTTCCACACTGCTGAATGAAATTACATAAATAATAACTAGATTAATTCTTTAAAAGTGTTGTGTTTGTTTGTTTTTTGTATACACATCATTTTCTGCATCTTTTTTGGCCTCGTGAAAAAATACGAAAAGGCACCTCCACCTTTATAAATGCCCTTACAGGCAGACTTTGTAGTGATGTTTGGGCATTACTGTACATGCTACATCTATTAGTGATCACTTTACTGTTAACTTAGGAAGTAAATGGATGCAAGGACAAAGTTGCTGTAATGGGATATATGGAAAAGAAACAAGTGGCAGACAAAGTGTCCAGGGAACAACCGCATTCATTAGAAGGTAGGTGATAACTGGTATGATAGAAAGCTTAGTGAAGGGAAACTATTTTAAGTTTATAAAAAGGATAAAATATTGAAAATAGAGTAAACAAATAGATGTAAATCTATTTCTAGGCTGTGTCAAGTAATGGAAGTTCTGCAGGAAAATGGCTTTCAGAATACGAAAAAGAGCAGCTTAATATTTAAATATATGTAAACATACACTCACACACGTACACCTCTACTGTAGAAAGCAGTGTAAGAGAGAGACAGAACATCCACACAGTATTGAGCTCCATATGTAAAGGCTGCTCGGGACGATACTACAGAAAGTTACAAATTTAAGACAGGAAAAGAAAAGGAAAAATGGAAACATATTTCCATGCAAGACATGGAGATTTCCTGATGTTTCCACACAACACAGACAAAATTTTGAAATTGGTTTGTTGAGAAGGGGATAGCATACTAGAATAAGAGTGATGAAATGATTAAATACTATAACTGATTACATAAATAACAGTGTTTTATAAAAATAACCAAATTTTTTAAAACTAATTTTTATTTAAAAATTATCTACATAACCTGCGACTGTTAAAAAGAGTTCATCATAAAGATGTGAAATGGCTGAAAACTAGGATCTACATTGATAATGCTAAATAACAGTCTCCTAATTCTCCTATTAGTATTATACAAATTTACTCTTATTAATGTTTTTTTATAGATTTCTATGCTTTCTTGCAGATTTCTAATACTATTTTGAATGTAAATTGTGTGTTTCCTATGCACAAGGACTTTTCCTATGTCAGTTCTAGACTTTTGCTTCCCATCTTTATTGACCCTGATCAATTTGCATCAAATACCAAAGAACCAGCTGCCAAGTAGTGTGAGGGGAAGTATGATGAACCCCTTACCTCCCTAATGTCTCTCTGGTATTTACTGTTCATTTCTTCAGTTTTAATGAGCTCCTTTCGGGCAGTCTCTGCTTCCTGCTCTACCTCTCCCACCCGGGACGACAGCGCAGCCAGGCGTTCCTTCATTTGTGCCATTTCATAGTTTTGCTTTTCAAGCAGCTCCTGAAGTTCCACAACTTGACTGGCATCATCATTTGAGTCTATAGAGCCGTTTGACAGGCGCTGTTGAGAGAAAAGCAACATTATTATTATTTTTTAAATGTAGACTATCTAAAGAATATATAAGCCAAAGATTATTTCAAAAATTACAGGAGCAACGAGAAGATACACAAAAATCGAAACAAAAATCACAATAACTTTAAGTATACATAAGGCAAGTGTAATTATGAAAAAAAAGACTAATATACAAGGGATTCCAATATATTATGTCACATAGAGAAGGAAATGTTGGCATTAACGGCAGAATGCTATACAAGACCAGCATTAGTTTAACATTATAGCCATTCAAGTACAAATTGCAACAAAACTACTACTAAAAAGCACCAAACAGCGTATATGTACCTTAGCTAAACTAATACACCACTTAAACTTACTCAAAGTCCTTTTCACTTGCAAAATAGGCCACACTGCAGACAGGAAATAACACTTTAATAAATCACAATTCACTGTACCAGAAAGAGTCTAGTCAATGCACTGGTTAAATCTACATTAGAAACAAATTCATCTAACGCACTCTGTATACTGCTGAAAGCACTCAAATGAATAATTATAAAGAAAAAAAACCCAGGACGCTATTGAATTTGAAATATGATTCTAGGAATACGATTTATATTGTATATAAATGATTCGGAAATCATTTATATTTTTCCTCAAAAAGAAAAAAAAAAGAAAAAAAGAAAAAAAAAAGAGTATTATAGAATATTTCCTAGTAAGACTTGCTGGGAATTCTTTTTCAGTTTAGACAGTCACATTAAACCTATTCCAACATAGTCTAGGTCCTGTTTTGGCATAGGCTTAGTTATTTCATGCAAAAACAAAACAAAATAAAACCTGAGGTGATTTGGTTTTGAATTATATCATGGAACAATAAAAATCAAAGTCAAAATTGTCATTAATTTCCTTGATTAGAGAAAATTTTATCTTGTTAGGGCTATATGCAGTTTATTCTCATAAATATATCAGCAAAGTATTTCAGTGTAACTACTATTTTACATAGGTTTCTGACCTAAAGACAGGAATATTGTTCCTGAAGTGTCTCTGTTATGTTTCAGATGGGGTATAGCAACACATACATGAAATATGCCTAGTGAGAGCCAAGATGAAGAGAAGCACCATTAGTGCTTTTGTATTTTCATTGCCAAAACAGATTTATAGTTAAATCTACCAACAAAATCAAAGAACACTACTTTGTTCAATGGTTCTAACAGCATTATTTCCCAAATCAGCCATAAAATGAACCCTGTTCAGGACTATCAGCACCTCTCTGGATCACTGAATACATTTATTTTACTGTAAACATTTGTTCCATCAAATAAATCGGCTCCAGAATTGCTTTTGGTACACTGCTTAACTGTATTATCTTGATAGTTTATCTTAGTTGCTAAAGTTAGTTGATCTACTTGACGGGGCCAATACGAAAAGCACAACAGCAATTTCAAATCTTATGACATTAGTTTTGCTATCTGGATAGTGTTGTTATTCTACTTGAAAATAAATCCAATTCATATGCTGTGATCACATATGTAAATAAAATAGTATTCAAACAAGATAAAACATTTTAACCATAATACTTTATTCCACTCTGTAAATAGAAAGATTTGTCTGAAGTTTATGGCTATTAAGTGTCTTACGGCTTTAACCATATATAGTAATTTTGGCACAATTTAGTTGTGACAGATGAACAAATGCTAGCAGATGTTTAGTTTGCCCTACAATTCTCTAAACAGCAGCACATGAATTGCAACTAAGTTAGAGTAAAGCAAATATCATATATGAAAATCAGTAACGTGATTATGTGCTCCATATGCTATAAACATTTGGAAACAGCAGCCTTGAGTATCTAGGTGTATGTTCACTGGTATCAGAAATACAGCTTTCTGTTAACTAAACTTTTGTGTCTAAAGAGCTTAATAAATAAAAACACATACAAATAATAATAATAAAAAGTGTAAGATATAAAATTCATTTGCTTGCTTCTTCCTAGGATTTATGCAGAGTGATAAAAACATATTCATAATTAATCCATCACCAATAAACAAATGTTATAATTGTCAATTATGCATTAATTCATTTTGATTTATGCACATAAACATCTCTCCTAATTATTCGAATAACTTTTGGGGCAAATTGTTTAATCCCACCAGCTGTTCACTTTTGCTTTAGACTATTCCTGTATTCATATACACAACTGATTGATTGATATTTGAAAGTTTCCAGCTTTCAAAAGAATGCCCACATTTTTATTTTTCTTAATTTGATTGGGATGAAAAATACCCTTCTCTACAATTTTGAGTAAAATACTAATAGAAAAAAAAAGAAAATGTCTTCAGAATTTTGAAAAATACTTTCATAAGTAGCTGCAAATGCAACTATAAAAAGCTATATCTATACACATTTAAATCTCAATAGCTTATCATAAAAAAACTTTCTACCATCAGTGGCTATTTCTTTAAAAAACTGTTTTTGAGACATGGAAAAGGCTCATATGCCCCAATGCTCCACTCTTTTGACTAGTTACTTAACCAAACACAAGATAGTCCATTTATTTCCTTCAAACACTTTTAGTTTTTTAGACTACAGTGTGTATACCAATACTACTATCACCATACATTTTTTCACTTGAGTGTCCTTGCTTTCTGCAGGTACTGAGGGAAGGAGCTACACCTAGAATAAGGCATATTATATCTAGTTTTTTTCCAGTCGGGTCTACTTGGATTAGGAGTAGCCCTGAATCTACTTTAATTTCATAATACTATAGGGCAGGAGGAGATGATAGGGAAAATAAGCTTTCTGATCTCATTCCTTTCTTCACTGTTAATTCTATACATTCAAATATTTTAGCTATCCAAACAATTCGACCATTCAAAGCTTCACAAAAGCACTATTTAGCCAGCAATGGTGATATTGCAAAAACCTTGTTTTGACTGAAAGGCAAAGTTGAGGCACACATGGTGCTGCTGCTTCTTCACAGCATCTCATAGCAGTGGCAGTAGTGGCAGAACAAGGACTTTGGGCTGTGGTCTACACGTGGTACTTCTGTACCTTTTGAATAAACTCACTTGGTTGGCCTAAAAAAAATTAAGGCATTTCTCAACTCTCATAGGTGTCAGCATATATGAATACATACATTGCTGTGTAGCAGGCTACTTCTTTCTCATGAAGTTTCTCTGATGCATTTTCATGAGCTTTCATGAATTGTTTGTAATGGTACATGGGGAAATACTAAGAAAGGGCACATTTAGCTATCCAGATAATATGAAAGAAGAAAAATAATGACTAAAAAGGGCAGCACTGCAAGAATCTTTGCATTTGCTCTAAAATTCCTTAGAAAGACAGGGAAAAAGATGTCCCATTTTTTTTTTCCAATTGCTTGTTCCCTTGTGCAAGATGATGCATAGGACGTTTTTGAGAAAAATATAGGATAGGATAAAACATTTTAGCAAAAATAAGGAGTTTATGAGAACAAAAGATAGAACTGAAAACTCATTCCTAATGCTGTAACACACCATGAAAGTAGTCTAAGGACAGAAGGAAACTGGAAGTTGATGTAGGCAGAACAATGCCGAAAGAAAGAGAAAAAGACAAAAAGAAAACCACACAGTGGTTTACTAATAGTAAAATGAAAAAAGGTAAAAGGAAGACCAGAATAAAGTGTAAAATAAGAGTAGAAAGGAATATTATAGCCTTGTTCATGCATTTCATATTGCCCTTCAATTCAATCCATTAATAATCATACTAAAGTCAAAGTCAGAGGAATTAGGGATGTTCTCTTAAGTGTTTCTTTTCTTCCTTTACCAACCAAACAAACAAACAAAAAAAAACGTATAAACACATTACAGAACTGAGTATATGGGCATTACAGTGGAAGACGCAATTCAGTAAAGATGAATGCAAAGTCATACACATGGCAAAAATAATTTAATCTTTACATGTGGAATGAGGAAGTGTGCAATGATCCTTACACTCACGAATGATATCTTGATATTGTAACTTCTTTTTCCTTTCCTCTCCTCTCCTCTCCTCTCCTCTCCTCTCCTCTCCTCTTCTCTCCTCTCCTCTCCTTTGCTTTCCTTTGCTCTCCTCTCCTCTCCTTTCCTCTCCTTTGCTTTCCTTTGCTTTCCTTTGCTTTCCTTTTCATCTACAGCATTTTATCAGCAAATGAAGAGCAAACTTGTTGTAGGCTATTAATTGCAAAGATATAAGAAGATATTTTTCACAGTATATCTCTTGACATGCAGTAAAAATCTAATGTGAAGTTGGCCTTCCAAAGATTTGCACGTAGCATGTTCTGATTGCTACCTGTGTGAAGTTTTATTTGCCATTAACTGATTATTGTAATTATTATTGTGCAATGTTGATTTTTTGAGTTGTTTGCTTTGCTAGCGTGAAGTTGGAAAGGAAAGCAATGATCTAAAAGATACAAGAAGGCACATAAAAGAGTAGGAGGTTGGAGTCAAGCTCAGGTTCATGGAATTGTTTTCAGAAAACATCACAAACAGAATATTTAGAAAAGTTTAAAATAAGAGAGAATGTTTTTTTTTTAGATCAAAGAGACTTTGCTTCGGTCTGCCTCCAGGTATGACATGGTGTCACATCTGCCATGGCTGTAACATTCATGGTGACTGGACTGCAAGATGCACCTCTTGCCCATATTCTATGACAGCATCTCAACCCAAAATGAAGTGATTCAGCAGTACTGCTTTGTGAGATTTTTCTCTTTACTAAAATAGGTGCTAGATGCTGCTCTTTAAAATGTGAAGGAAATTGTGGCCAGCGTATGCAATATATAGAATTTCCATGGTTTAAATCACTTCCCAAATATTTTAGAAATAATTACATGACAATAGTTGTAGTAATATTCAGACCTAGGCTATGTTTAAACTCTAATAAGACTAAGATAACAACTTTGAAAAATATTCACGTAGAAAATTCGTTAACTATGGGAGCCATGGAGACTGTGTGACTTAGAAAAGGGGGCTATGAAGGCCAGATCTTTAGGGGAG